TGCCGGAAGGAATGTCAGAGCATTTAAAAATAAATGTGAGTTTATCTATGATTAAGAAATTAACTTTTTTTCTAGACAAAGACTAAATCTTTCTGTCTCTGTCGCCATACATCTTTAAAATGTTATATTAGTTTGTTTAAAATTATAAAATATTCATAGTGTTACAAAAATAAGTTGAACAGTTGTCACTGACGAGAAGGTAGGAGGAAAGAGGAAATTCCCCTGGGTACGGAATATTGAAAAGGGATTACTACATTTTTTTTAACTAAAGAAACAATATTTAATAAGGTGGGAAAGTGGGTGTCGCTCTGCTGTATAGCATGTTACATGTGGGCCACTGTAATGGATAGTGTTGAATTTGAATTCAATGATATAATATCATAGTATACAAAAAAAAGATTCTGATCAGAGATGGTTTGTCAGCCCACCTAGGATATTTTATATTACCTACATTCATATTGTTACTATTTTTATTATTTTACAACTGCTATTGTAAAATATATCAGTAGCCTTATATTCAAGTTTCACGCTTTTTGACCCAACAAATATAACTTAATTGACATTTATAAAAAAAAATAACTAAAACAATTGAAAATTGAAAAGGTCAGTAAATAGATCAAAACTATACTCTGTTCCACTAGAAATCATGCCGGTTCTGCGCATCACCCTACGTCACCCTGCTGTCGAAACAGCACACAGGATGTGGCGTAGGGGAACCAGTTTTGGTTGGTCCGCAGGATGATCTCTCGTAGAACAGAGTACTTTTAAAATGTTATCAAGTAAAGGAATTGATAAAATAAACATATGGTGTGAATTTCAAGTCTCTACAGTTATTGATTGTTATTGATTTACATAAAATAAGAAAATCGCTACATGGAAAATCGAGGGACTATTCTATGTTGTAAAAGTTTGAATTTCAAACGCTCATAAAAATTAATTTTGAAACTTAGAGATTTTTTTTTGATAAATGCATACAAACTGATGAGGCATCTTGTTTTAAATTTTTAAATCTTAGATTTATAAAAAAACAATTTTATTAATTTCTTACCCAAAACAATTTGCACATTTTACTGATTTTCATATTTTGTTAAAATTTGAACTTTATACTGCTTATAAAAAAATCGTGACCATGGATTTTACATAATTTTCAATGAACAATATATTAGGAGCCTTATATTACATTTTCAAGTATTTTTACCCAATAAATTTATTGACATTTATAAAAACTAAAAACATTGGAAACTGAAAATGTTCGTAAACAGAATCATAATATTTTATATAGAAGATGCTAGTATATACAACCAGTGAAAATTGCATTTATCTACAGTCATTTGTTTTAGAGTTGCACCAAAAACCAAAATTGATTTTGCTTAAAAATTCCTGTTTTCCCTTAATTTTAATTTGATTTTCTCTGCGCTTTTGATAACTATTGAAAATTTTAAATTGTGTCCTCCCAAATGCATGAATAAAATAAATCAAAGCAGTTTTAATGCCCCAAACGGTGATGACAGATACAAAAAAAAATCATATCATTATAAAATCAATACGTTCATCGCTCCTCTCAGAATCTAAAATAAGCATTTTAACAGCAGAGCAGAAATTCTATTCCTAGCAGTTACCTGACAAAGTTAATGATAAGTGGTCAAAAAAAGTGGGTCCCCAAGGTATTACCCCCAAGCCCGGGTTTTTCTTACCACGGCCATGCACTTTAGTCTGAAGCGTACACAGGCAATTGCCTAATGATACAATACCACTGATTTCATTTCATTAAATTAAGAATTTCTTGATTCATATTTCTGGCTATTTGAATATTTTTAATACACTATAAATAATTAATTAATCAATGATCTGTTTTTGATTTCATAACATCTTAACCTGTACTGTGTAGCATTAAAACAATGTTTTAGCATTGTTGTTTCTTCTTCCGGCTTCTATAAGAGTTTTTTCTGCCATAGCTAAAATCACTCCACTTTTGGTTGTGTTCTATGGCCTACTATTTTTATATTACGACAATTTCCACTAAATTCCACCTTTTCTATGCTAATGATATCTATTTTTTCTTAAAGCTACGGCATTTCAGTTTTGCAACTCATCCTAGAAATGAGTGTGAATAATTATCCCCCTATAAGACTGCAATAAAATTAATATTGTGTTAATCAATTCTGAACTAGTTTTAGTCTATAAAAACAAAGGAATCTATTACGCAGTAAAGCTAGTTTCTATAGGTCATACAATCTAAAATCAAATATACCTAATACTTAATTCATTATATTTTAGCAATAATAAATAATAATGACTTATATAATATATTATGTTAAATTATTTTGTGAAATTAATACATTTTTTTATTGTTTAGGATAATTATACTGTCAAAAAATCAAAATCTGTAATTGATCTTACAATTATTGACACAAAAAAAAATGAGGTGCAATGACTGTTTTATCCGGAAAAACATATCGAGCTTATTTCTTCAATTCAATATCATATTAAACACTATTTTAAAACTTATGTGTACGAAAAAAAAATTTATTATTGTATTGCAATTTTAAAGTTTGCTTGAATAATTTATAATAACATGGTGCTTTAAAAATTATTGAAATTAGTAAATTAAATGATATATTAGGCAATAAATCAAATTTTTTTTAAAACATTCTTTTAAAGGAGCTTATTTTGAATCTTTAAATTTTTAATTATATTTAAAAACAAATTATTTTTTTATAAAACGATTTGATAAAATAATTTTTTATAAAATATTTTCTTATATATTATATATTTAATAAAATAAGTAGCTATTAAAACATAATATTATCAATAAAAAATAATATTTATTATACCTATATTTATATCATAATACTTCTAAACAGCTAAAATCGATTAGGTGTTAAAAACTAAAATGTATACTGTTAGTGTTCCTATTACCATTAATAATATGTTCCAAAGATTTATAAAACGCATAAAAATTTCCAAAAATATCAATCAATTTTTTATATTTATTCCTTAAATATATCTTTAATTGAAGTATTATGATAAATACACATGACTTTCCAAAAATTGAGATCGCAATGTTATACTTATTATTAAATTCAATAACAAAAAGACATAATATTTTTAGTTATAACTTATAACCAGTGCCTCAAGGTTGTGCCGTTTTTATAATTTTCTAGCCATCTGTTACTAGCTTTAAATTGTTTGTCTCCTAATAATTTAGTAAAATGTTCTGCTTTTTTCACTATATGACCACCGATACTGACATCAGCATCTTGCGTTTCTTAAACCATATTCACGTATTCTTTTTTAACGCTTGAATACTCAAATATTTTCTCTTGCTATCACGTGAAAAGTTCAAATCAGTTTCCCTTCTATGTTTTATTATGGTGGATAGTGTACTTACTTACTTGCTGGTATTCAAAATTCATCAGCAATATCCTTCTTCTTTCTTCCAATTTTCACTGCTTCAAGCACTCTTTGTTTTTCACCAATATTAGTACCAGTACAAGTTTTTAAATTACGAGGAATCTGATTTTACAACAAGTAACACAATTGTACACATAACCGATAAATTCCAATTGACAATACCCAACCATATGAAACCAAACACAATTGATTTAGTTACTTTGTTGTTTAATTTCTAATAAATTACTCAAACCACAATAGAGAATAATTGTTTATGTAATTGTAACAGTTTATAATTATTTAATAATTGTTAAAAAATTATAACAAAAAAAAATTTTAAGAGAAAGTTTAACGAATACATTTAGTAAGTAAAAAGTTTTAAGCGTTTTGTGCAATCTCAACCAATTTGAAGTATACTAATTATTTAATTTTACTGTCATTATGCATTATTTTTAATTTAAAATTAATTAATGTAATTATATTTCGTATTGATATTTGATAGAAAAAAAGTTATTATCTATGAAGTTATCATGTTGTAATTTATTTAGCTAGAACTATACATTTAATTGTCTGTTTACACAGCAAGTATAACTATAAATTTGGGAACATAATAATTTAGCTCTTTTAAATTATTTATTTCACTTACAATTTATGAATTGGGTATTTTCTTTGTATAAATGATTTTTGTTTGTTCACTATTTTACACTGTTATTCTTACTATATAATAAACAAGCAACTGTTTGTCTTTTAGTTGGTTACTATTTTGGTACTCTGTCATATATGACATAAAAATACTATGTATAAATTTACACAAAATAATTATATAAAAAAAAACAAAACAATTGCAATTTGATTTTAAAATTTTTTTTCAAATATATTTTTAAAATAAGCAATTTTTTAAATTGTAATCAAGATATTAATATTTATCTAAAAACGGACGTTTAAAATGATTTAGTTAATCAAATGTATGTTACAACATTTATAGAATACCATAATTTAATATTTGTACAAAAATTATTATACAATGCACCACACTGTCACTGTAAGCTATTAAACATGCCTTGTATATTATTAAGTAACATCATAACGTCTAAAATTGGAAAAATAAATTTTAAAAATGAATACAAAATTAAATTAAATCATGACTAAGTAACAAAAAAATAAAAAAAAAAATTAACTTAAATAAACATTTAAGAAATTATCGAATTAATATTTTGTGTTAACTTTTCAAAACGTCCTATATTAACTTTTGTGTTGTAAGCGTGACTTATTTTATATATGGTAATTATTATTAAATATTTTAAAGGTAACAATATGTCATTTATGTATTTTCACTATTTGTTAAAGTTTTATTGTATAATATATTATAAATAATAGTATTTATATTATATATTTTCATGTTTTTTTTTCTGGAATGTGTTGTTACTTTTCATAATGCACTTGATTGAAATATTGAATAAACTAACCATGATGGGGTACAATAACATTTGTTATAAAAGTGCTTATATTACATTTGACTAGAGGCAGCAGCAAACAGTTGTATCTAATTTAATGTTGGATGTGAGGTCTATAAATAACATCCTTTTGTGAATATATATTTGATGTGCCTAACTGCTTAATGAAGCCATAGGCGAGGACGGAGACATTGGTGATCGGTTACAATCACTTGCAGATGAATTTGGTGATCCATTTAATGTAATCACTAGCTTTCGACTACCAGCTTGATTTCGATGCTCACACAGCCAAATACCTTGCCATGTGCCAAGATTCAATTTTCCTTCAGTAATGGGTACTGTTATTGATGAACCAAGAAAACATGCTTTTACGTGGGCTGGCTAAAAATAATAATTACAATTTATTGAGTATTTTAATTAAATAAAAACTTGTTTACTATAAAAAGCTTAGGTAATTTTAGAGAAATTAATTTACCATGTCATCTGGTCCTTCACACGAGTGTCGATAAGGTAAACCCTAAAAAATAAACACAACTTATAGTAGTTAAATAATAAATATGTTAACTATATTATACTAATATTAAAATGTCTATAAAAACTAAACAACCGTACCAAGTCTATATTCATCCTAAATACCAAATTAAATAATAAATATCATTATTATGGCTTATGTTTTTACTTTAAATGTTATAATTTAGCATTTTAATTACAATTATGAAATGTATTCTAGTTTATCTTAATCTGTATAATCAGACCGATTATTGAGGATGGTTCCGTGGTGTGGAACCCTCACTTGATGGTACACAGCCAACAAATTGAGCATGTCCAGCGCAAGTTTCTCAGCTTCGCAGGTTAAAATTTAAATATTGTCCATCTTCCTCATGACTATGCTCCAGTACTCCAAAACTTACTATCAATAGCCGATCTAGTAATGCCCGTGACCTAACCTCTTTCAGAATATCATTTGTTGTAAAATTGATTCTCCCTCACTCCTTTAACATATTAGCTTCAGAGTTCCTACACGATATACCCGTAACATTGCTCCATTCGCTGTTCCATTATGCACCACTGATTAGCTGAAAAATGAACCTCTCACTCGATGTATGAGACAGGCCAATCAAGACACCTCCTTTGCCTACTCCAATTGAATATGTTGTTTCATCATATTTCAGATTTGTTTTATTTCTTATCTTGTATCCATGTAATATATTATATTATGTATGCTTCTGTATATTATTATTGTTAATTGTAAATACCATGATAACTGTTCTATTATTTTAAATGGGCTTCCGCCCGTCAATATTAAAAAATAAAATAAAAGATTGTATAAGTAGCAACTGAACTCGTATGAATTAAGTTAAACTGACTTGAAAAATCAATAAAAATGTATTGTTAGAAACCACAATTTTTTTCTTGTATTTTTCTGTAGAATTATTATTATATAACGATGGCATAGTGCACACATGTTGTAAGTGCAAAATTCAGATAAATGAGTTTTTTGCATGGCTGTATTGCTGACAACTTTCTACATATTATGTACAAATGTTTTAAGTGTATAGTACATATTTAGTCTGCTAGAGGTCTGCGCGTTTGTCGTAGTGCATGTAATCTGCGTGATGTGAAATTACAATTGTCGTTCTCCTGAACAATTACAAAAATGTCACTTACAACATGTGTGCACTATGCCATCGATAATATGTAATAAATTATTTAGGTACTTCCAGAATCCTCCAAGACATGTATTTGTTTTACAATTAGAATTATAATATTTTAATTTAATACTAATTTTAACTTTAGTGGCTGCTAGTTTTTATCATTACTTACTTCTGGTACAATTTTATTCAACATCATCTCCATATCATCTCTAAACAAATAATTAAACTTGTTTAATATAATTTTTCTATAAAACAATAATTTTTGATAAAATCTGAATAAAATTAAAATCTTTTGATTTGTTCCTTGCTATTTTATTTCCAACAGATTTTATTAGATATGTATATCATATTCTTACCGAACGTTTGGATCCCAACTTTCATTAATGGCAAGGCTAGCTGATGTATGCAAAACTAAAAAAATTAAAAACGAATAATTAATAATTAGTTTATTTAAGTAGATACCTAATGTATGTTCTACGCTACCAATGCTTTTCTTTCTTTTTATTCATATATTTTTATATACACAAAAATTCAAAAAGTCAACCATATTTACATATTATTACTTCATTTTCCCGAATTTTTTTTCTCAAAATGTTCTATAATTTTTACAATTTTTAATCATTTCCTTAATTTTTCTGTGTATGTTTTCCCAATGTCACAGAAATGAGTGCTAATACTGATACATTGTAATCCAAAGACCTAAATTTTTAACATTTTACTTCCTAGTTTAGTGAGTGAGCAGAATTTTTTACTGATAAAAAAATTGTAAAGACAACTCATCCTTTTCTAATGAAAGTAAAAAAGTGAAAAATTCCATGTGGATCAAATCAAGTTTACATTTTGATACAATAAGTCTAGGCATAAATAGATAGAAAATGGGATAGTTCTATTTTAAAAATTGGTAAATATTCTCAATGCTAGGTTTGTTGACTTTTCAAATGATTGAGGATATTGAAAAAATGAGAAGACATTAGTGGCGCAGAATTAGGTATTAACTTATTTATGTCTAAATGGATAAAATGTTTACTAATAATTATTTCAATTCACTGATTCACCTTTAAAGAAATTAAAATCAGTGAGACATTAACATAAGAAATTATAAAAGCTGTTATATAAGAATACAAGTATTTAATGCAGGGGAAGGGTTCTAGGGTTCTGACCCCTCCCCTGAAATTTCTTCCTTTTACAAAAAAATCTTATTTACTAGTTACTACCATTAAAATACTGAGTCGATAATTTGTTGGTCATTTTTAATAGATATAAAATAAATTGTTAAATATGACAAACATTTCGATCATAGTTTCAGTTTTTTTGCTGATTTAGAACATTACAAAACGTCTGCCATAATCGTCATATAATATGGTGTATCATCAATCGATTATTTCCATCGATTATTACCACATTTATTACGACCCGAAGAGGCTCTATAAAGATGACTAGGTGTCCAGGTTAAACACTCCAGTGTTCTAACTGTAGACTAAATTTGATATTAACTATAATTTGTCATAATCAATTATATAAAAACGGTTTAGAAAAAAATAATGTAAATTATTTACTCCCTTACAACCCAAACCAAAACAAAATCCTGCGTACGCTAGGTACTGATTGAATGGAGGCATTTTAATTTAACTTTTATATGACAAAGAACAAATAAAGACAATTTGTGTGTTTTATGACTCCATTAAAATATTGTTATGATATAAAAAAAAATAACCTTATACATAGGTAATTTAAACCAATTTTCATATGTGCTTAATATGTATATGTACATGTATTAAAAACCACAATCCCATATTTAAAAATACTAAACTTAAAAATGGCATAGAAAATGTAATGTATCGACTACCTATTTCTTATTAATCAAAATATTATTATTTGTCACTTTATATTGATACCTACAATAATTTAGTACAGTAAAACTTCCGTTAACGGTCACCTCTATATAACGGTAAATTTGTTTGGTACCGTCGTGTGTTATCCTACCTCTGTAGGACGGGCACCTCTAAACAGCGGTCATTATTTACAGTCCCTTCGGTGACCGTTATATGGAAGTTCTACTGTACTTAAATGTTATTATTTGTGATGCACCAATTGCTGAACTACTGTGCAAATGATTTGTGGGTATGGAACTTGGCAGATGAGTGTATAGAATATTTTAAATGCTTACTTTGTATGTGACATAAACCAACGGAGAATTGAGATATTTCTGGTATTTGTTTAAGAATTTCTTCAGTTACTAAATGTACGCCCCTGTGTTGTGGTCTTAGGTTAATTTTGCGTTGAAACCACGCAGAGCCAATTTGGATTCCTCGACTCGATGATGCCATTCCAAAATATTTACATTCACAACAAAAATTATGGCCTGTTGGTAAAATATGGAATAATATATTAAACACATTCGTTTACATAATTTAATAATTTTTCAGTTACAATATTATAAGAGTTGAGTGAATAACAAATTAGCCGTCTAAAGGACAAAGTTATCACTTACAACGGTCATCGCTTAGTATACATTTCGTAGTGTGCGTTTAACGTTTAAAGTCCAATGGCTGTAGAGTGTAGATAAAATAAATAAATGTGTTTGAAATTGAAAAAAACACGAATAATTTGTTTGATTTCGCACTTAACTAATCTAAAAAGTAAAAATTTCCAAAAGACGAGATTACACGCAAAAAAAAAATGTATCAAAACAAATTTTCAGACAGTGTGACTTTGGGAAACACTAAATTCCCATATTCCGATAGTGGTTTTGCCAACCGTTACTATAACCACAGAACAGCAGCGGGGCGCCGGGGCAGCGCCAATAGACTTTTGAATTTAACAAAAATCGATTGCCAATATTTTATATTTTATGTATTGTAATAATAATTTATAACAGGAGCCACCTAATAGGAAACGTGAAAATAAATGTATTATATATTATGTCACATTAAAATATTCTAATTTTCCAATTACAAATTTACAAAGATGGGCATTAACTTCTTAACTTAACTCAGTGTCGGTCTGGCCCACCCGGCTACCCGGCGATCGCCGGGGGCCCCTGGATATTTTCATGTATTAGGGGCCCATAGCTAAATGAAAAAAAATATTATGTTTACTCAAGATTCCAGACTCGGGTTCCAATCAAATCAATTTGTAAACTTTGAACCATTGGTTATAAATATTAGTATATACTATTATTAAGGCCGGCGATTACAATATCTTAGTCCGTGATCTTCAGATTTATGCCACATACCTATTACCTATATAATTATATTATATCTTTTAGCCGTGGTCGGCAGTTGGCACTGACGAGACAAAAATAGATTTACGGTAATTTTCCAATAAGGTACACCTTCACCCATATACTAATACGAGTGATACACAGTATTACACACAGACATACAGACACGCACCTCGCACACAGACACTCAAACTTATGCTCGCTAATCGCTGTACATAAATCACTATTAAATACTTTATGAAATAACATCAAAATCTGATTTGTTTAATACCTTAGAATTGAATAACGCTTTCACAAGAAAATCGAAAACATCCCCCGATTTGTTTTGGTTTTGCGTAGGCCTCGGAATTAAACAGAGTTGTTAAAAGGAACATAATCGGCTAGCGTTGCCACTCGCTAGCTACGCTGCGCTCGGGAAAAAAACACGAGTTCCTCAGCGCATCATTAAGTAGTGTTGCCCACATGCGTATAAATCGCAAACTTTAGATAGCTATAATTTCAAAACGAAGTTTGTCCGGCCTTTTTTTTTTACATTCTTATAAAGTACCCTAAAATACACATTTGAAAAAAAAAAAATTTGAAAAATCGATAAGTTGCTAAACCAGAATTATGCCCTTTCTTGTACACAAGTTTCATGTGAACGTGTGTTTTCAAAATTGAAAATTTTAAAAACAATACTAAGATCGTCTATCAATCAAGAACATCTAGAACCACTAATTTTCTTATTTGTAGAAGAATATTTAATCAAATGTATTCAAAAAGATGAAATAATTGATCAATTAGCATCTTCTAGTCAAGAATTGAAGATATTATTGTCTTAAATAGTATTATATTTGAAGAACATTTTAAGTTAACGTTGTTATTCATTTGTGAACCACAACTAAAAAACAAAATCGTTTTTTTTTATTAGTATTTGTATCTAAAGTCACCGACTGGATCCAATTACCTAGCTAGGTTAGCCATAGTACTACGTACTGAACAGTTATATATTTTATTTGATTATTTAATCATAAAAACTATTAATTTGATATTAAATATACTTTTTTTTTTTTTTTTTCATTTATTATCCCGCGGAAACTTAGGCCATTGGGAAGGGGGTTGGTACTGTAGATTATTAACGGTAGGTGAGTGTTACACGTGGGTGTATTTTGGCAGAATTTCGAATGGGGCACCCGTAGGTTTCTGCCATGCCCCGGAGTGGGGGATGGCGGCACTTGTTTTCCGGACACCGTGACTTGCCCGGAGAAAAATGCTGCCCAGTGGCCGAGAATCGAACCCGCGACTGCCAGCGCCGCAGCCGATGCGTTAGACCGCTCGGCCACCTCGCCCCCCTTAAATATACTTATGTACGCGGAAAATTCAACACCTACCTTAATATGTTATAAAAAATTATAAATTTCAGAACCCCTTTTTTTTTTGTAAAGGGCCCATTGAAAATTACTGTGCCGGGGGCCCATTTATAAGCCAGACCGACACTGACTTAACTACTTTATTATTTTTATTTTTAACTTAACTACTTTATTATTTTTGTTTTTAACTTATTATCATATTCAGTTAAAATGTTTATTGTTGTAATTTAACTTTTTATGGTTAATTATCAATATCGTGCAGTTAAGTAAATTTTTTTTGATGTCATGCGTAATCAACTATAGACAATATATTGATTCTCGACTGTTTTTCGATTTTGGTAATTTATTTTCGAATTATATATTATAATAATCTAATTTTTTACATAGCGTGTTAAACGTCTTGGTAAATGTTTGTGTATACCAAATAGTAAATACTGGCAGTCATAAGACTTAAAAATATTGTACCTGGAAAAAAATTAATTTTTTTTTAACTTAGATAAGTTAATTTTATTTTCTATCTTAACTTTAAACTTATCTAGTTAATTTTTTTTTTTGTTAACTTTTACTTAATTGAAAGCAATTCAATTGAATCAACTTAACTTGCCCACATTTGCAACTTTAGATGATTAGTCCGCAACTGACCAGACAATGGGTCGATGTCCTCGTTCAGTAGACAGTAGTCAGTGGTACTTATACTATAATATAGTATATAGGCGTTTGATAAATAATAGGTAAACAAATTAAATGCAGATTATGTAAATCAAAGCAATAGTACCTGTATAATAAAATATATTAAATTACATATTTTATTATGTTTTATTATATAGATTTATATTTTGAATTCCGCATGGTGACATAGTTATATTAATAATGGCTGGTCAAATAAAGTAAATACAAAAACAGAAACAAAAAATTGTTTCATTAATTGATTCATTAATTTATGTATTTAAATGCAACTTATAGTTGAATATAATTTTAATTACAGTGATACAGTAGGTCAATGATCTGAATTTGTAATTAGAACTAATGACTGATTAAATATGACATAACAGCAAAATACATAGGTAATTGATTTTTTTTTTGTATCTATATCTTCTCACTCATATACAATAAACATATACGCGTGCAACCGCAATAAACATTGGCGTTCTTCGAAACACACCCTTCTCCAATAGTTTCCTTATGTTTTACACTATGTTTAGCCAATTTTGAAGCTAATTTTTGTACTTTTACACACCTAATGCACCCCCTCCCCCCAAAAATCCGCCACTGGTGCAATACATAAAAGGTTTATTGTCAAGTATATATTGTCTACACGAATAGCCGCAATAGGTATACTATTTATCAGTCTACTTGGGCATTTAAACGTATTTTATGGTATAGGTAAGATACGTAATATTCGCAGGTAGTAAATAATAATTAAAAATAATTTAATATTATAATTTAGTCTTTAGTATTATAAGAGTATAAAAACATTACCTATATTGGCTATATTATAAGTTTTATTGACATTCATAGGAAAACAGACTAATAAAATTGGAAACACTACTAATGAGTTATGACATGTTATTATAATGACTATCCAATTAACTAACATATCTACTAGGTATATATTCTATATTATCTATATATCGATGGCGTAGCGCACAAGTGTGATAAGTGACATTTTTTTGAAAAATGAGTTAAGTGCATAATCAATTTAATCATACAATTCTGCACATTATGCCCAAACGTTGTAAGTGAATAGTTCATTATTTACTCCGATAGACGTCGTACAGTTCGTTAAATTTTTGAATTTGTTATGACATCTCAAACTTAAAAATCGTTCTCCTGAACAATTACGAAAATGTCACTGATCACACTTGTGCGCTACGCCATCGATATAATATAATATAATATTTATATAATATGTACTAACTACTAAGTACTAAGTGTCTAAGTACATGATTTTTCTTTCATATTCATCAACGCTTTAGTTACCATAAATTATTTGCGATTTGGTAAATGATTATGACGATGAATTTTTTCATATTCTGTTATTTGTTTATCCGTACTTAAAACCATAGGCGCACATTGGGGGTTAATTTAGGGGGGGCTGGAATAATTTATGTTACACAAAACCTAAGGGGGCTTCGCCCCCACACCATCCTAAATCCTAATACTATAATAAATTGCATTGCAATTATTTTAAATTTTTTATACAATTTGTAAATAGCAATGAATCAAGTGGTTATAACCTTTCATTGATATAATTACGATTTTCTATAATATGATTGCTGCTTATTGTTTAATATTTTGACGACAACTGAAACACTGAAACGTGCATTTATGCAATACTGTTTTAATCGCAAATTCGTGAACTGTTGTCTATTTGTAATGGAAAAAAAGTCTGAACCACAATAATGTATTAATGATCGGTGAAATACTGAAATAAATTTCATAGGGAACTGGGGGTTCTAGTTATTTAAACCTCGGGGTGCTAAGCACCCCCAAGCACCCCCCTATGTGCGCCTATGCTTAAAACTGTTGGACACTTTAATGAAGCCTTTTTTTAACATCGCCATTTAATTGTTTCACTAGTTTCGTAGTATAATGTGTACATTATGACCATCAAGACTCAAGTGTCAAGACACATTTTGTCATTTTGTTTGTTAGATAATAGATTTAATTATTTCCATTGTTGCTGGTAAAATAATAGAACATTCGAGAACTCGGCATAACAAGGTACTAACATATTATTGCAAAAATTATCTGT